AGTATATACCCGAACCTATCTTAGAAGTAGTTGGGGATAAAAATGGATAAGGCTATATGTCTCAAATTGAGGCACTCATCTATAATTTTATACATAGCATTTAAACATGCCAAGCAAGAACTGTAAAATCTATAGATGCCAATCAATATTCATTTCTGTTTCAAATACATCAAGTTTCGGAATGATCAGATTTGTTACAAGTCTATACTCAGTGCAAAAAAAATTTTAGTGGACATCATTGGAGGTCCTTATGTTGGGGTAGGGGGAGAGAGGAAATGGCAGAGTAGAAGTATAATCTGGCATTCAACCAAAGTGTTATTTTATTTTCTATGTACTGAGTCTTTAGATATCTAGGAAGTAATTATCCATCCAACTTATGGAAATGAGAGGCATGCATTATATTCTCCATGTCATTCATGCTCATTCAAGACATGCTCTGGACAGGTGTTTTTTCCTGTGTGCCAACCTAGCCTTAATATTGCCAGCCAGTTTCTTACTATAAAGAATGTGAGAATGAAGAAGGTGAACTCAGATCATTACATACTAAGACATTGAAGGGATCAACAAAAACCAGGAAGTTAACTGCCATTTTCTATCTGCAGAGATAAGTAGATGTTTTTTAATCTAGGCAATTTATTAAAAATTAAGTTCTATTTAGCATACGTTGGCTTATTTTCAATTAAGTGGAGAAAAATTATTATTTTCCAAAGGAAGAATATTTGATATAAACTTTTTTTTAATTGCACAAAATCTGTCCTTAAGAATGTCCTAATTCTAGTAGTATCAATTAGCCAAGGCCATCCCTGGTGATGTTGATGGGGGAGAGGAAGAGACGGAAGTAGCTGCAGTGAGTTTGTTTTAGCATTCAAATCACAGGAGAAAAGAGGAAAAACAGAAAAGGGTCAGTCTTCACTGGGATGGTGCCCTGATATATACAACTTTGAATTTTTGAAAGGTACAACAAACCCAAGAATTCTTTCAGCCTTCCTTTCGAGAGGTTTTGTGCTCCAGGCCCCCAAAACAGTTCTTCTCTGCCATTTCCAAGATTCAAAGAAGAGAAACACTTAAAAGCTCAGCAAAGCAGGACCACTACCCACGTAGTAGGGGATAATAATTTGTACCTTCCTGCAACCGCACATAATACACCCTTTATTCAATAAATAGCAAAGCCGTTTCACACCAAGCCAAAGGTCAGCTTTTGCTGTATTAATAGCTGCTCTGGGAGGGTCACTGTTGTGCTATCCTACATTTTTTTTTCCAGGGCCTGGAGATGCAATTTCCTGCAATCTGCAGGCAATTTCCCACCAATTTTCTCAGGGAGCTAATAGGCTGTGACAGGAGATGGAGCTAGCAAGCAGCAGGCGGCTTCAGAAGAGACAAATTGCATCTCTGCCACCTAACTGGGCAATCTAGATCGACAGAGTTTATAGCTTTGTAGTGTTATTGGGCCCCATGCTAACCCAAATCACTCAAGCTGCTATCTGAATTTCATATTCTCCTTCCATCTGAATTTGCCACCACATATCACCCACGGTTACAAAATAGATTGCATGTGATTAGTGGTTTAACGGCCTTTCAAATAGCTTCCTAGACATTGTTCAGATTCAAAATAGGGAAATGCAGAGTCTGGCCTTCAGATATCATAGTCATTCATATTGTTCTATCGGTTTTCTGAAGAGGCAGCAAGTCATCCCCTGAGGGGATTTGCAACCAGTTGAAATTCATTGTACTGTCATTTAATGGCAAAGGCTGGATTTTTAAAGACTGACACAGCACAGACAAAAAGACGGGAAATTGTGTAAAAGAGAGTTGTGTAGGAGCACAGAAGAACAGAGTTACTCGACAGTTTCCAGGGATCTGTTTCCTTCAGAATCTGGAATGTGTTAATTCTTAAATACATATAATTATCTCTGTTTTCTTGGATTACATAAATACAGTAGTCCTCAATTTACAACAGTTCGTTTAGTAAATGTTCAAAGTTACCGCGGCACTGAAAAAAGTGACTGACCATTTTTCACGCTTTTATGACAGTTTCAACAACCACATCGTCATGTGATCAAAATTCACTGACTCATATTTATGATGCTTGCAGTGTCCCAGGGTCATGTGAACACCTCTTGCACCTTTCTGACAAACAATGCCAATGGGGAAGCCAGATTCACTTAGTAACTGTGTTACTAACTTAACACCAGCAGTCATTCACTTAACAACTGCGGCAAGAAAGGTCGTAAAATGGGACAAAATTCACTTAACAAAAGTCTCAATTAGCAACAGAAGTTTGGGGCTCAGTTGTGATCCTAAGTTGAGGACTACCTGTATCAAAAAGTCTCAAAGGTAACAAACAAAAACAAAAGAAAATTGAAGTTAGTTATGGAATTAATATTGATGATGTTGAAGGACAAAGGATGTTCTGTGGGCTGGCAAGACCGTGGTATGTATAGAATAGAATAGCGTTTTTTATTAGCCAAGTGTGATTGGACACACAAGGAATTTGTCTTGGTGCAAATGCTCTCAGTGTACATAAAAGAAAAGATACATTCATCAAGAATCGTAAGGTACAACACTTAATGATAGTCATAGGGTACAATAAGCAATCAAATCATTCTAGGAAACAGTCAGTATAAATTGTAAGGGTACAAGCGACAAAGTTACAGTCATACAGTCACAAGTGGGAGGGGATGGGTGATAAGGAATGATGAGAAGATTAATACTAATAGTGCAGACTTTGTAAATAGTTGGAAACTGTTGAGGGAATTATTTGTTTAGCAGAGTGATGGCATTTGGGGAAAAACTGCCCTTGTGTCTAGTTATTCTGGTGTGCAGTGCTCTATAGTGTCATTTTGAGGATAGGAGTTCAAACAGTTTGTGTCCAGGATGTGAGAGGTCTGTAAATATTTTCACAGCCCTCTTTTTGACTTGTGCAGTATACTGGTCCTCGATGGAAGGCAGGTTGGTAGTAATTGTTTTTTCTGCAGTCCTAATTACTCTCTGAATGTGACTGAACATCAATCTATTCTTTCACTTACTTACACAATTTCAATGACCCTATCTGAATTCCAAGTTCCACATGGGAAACATGATGTGGAAAACTTTCCATTTTTACTGCCAGCATTATTATTTCTTCTTTCTATTCAGGCGAATACATAACTGGTAATTCAGAGAAACTGTCTATGTATCTCATAGTGAACCCTGCTCTATAAAAGCTTTGCCATTAGCAAGAGTGTTAATTTTCAACATTTGTATCATTAAATCTGTTTAATAAATATATGCAAAAGAAATATTTATATTAAATGTTTATATGAATTAATGTTACAGTTCAATTCCATGTATGGTTAAGAGGAAGGAAGCATATAGTAGAATATACTTCTTTGGGGCAGAAAACAGTGCTTGTAAATTAAATAGAAACATGAGAATTTGCTATTCAGAACTTTAGACAAAAAAGGTAAATGAGCCGAAGTAAGTAATCCCCCCCCCCCCGAATAAATATTTCCTATTGAGAGCGAAAAATATAAAATTACACTGTGTTTTATCTTTAGGAGCCTAATTACTTCACCAATGGAAAAAAAACACAAAATTATAATGAAGACATCAAAACAGCCTTTTGTAACAATTCTTCTGTTTTAAATCATACAGCACTTAATATCCTGTTTTGTATTTGGGTGTTTTTGTTTTTTAATGAAGTGCTGTTTCTTCAAAGCATGGAAAAGTTAGAGACTTGCACTCAGACACCATTAAGAGGCAATCTATAATTACCATTCTAAACATAATTATTAAAAAACACACAAACAGCTGCACTTGCAGAGAAGTTTATAGGAAACTTAAGTTGGAAGCTGAAATGAAATTAAGTGGATCATGGTTAATGGAATAAACATCTGGAGTAATTTACATTTTGACTCACCTGCAGCTGAAAGTCCTTCACATTAAGAAGTCTTGAAGTACCCCTGTTAAACGTGAAGTAGAACACAGAAACATTCCTAGAGTAGATCCAATTTAGCTGTAATGTCCTGCCCCTCAGTTCAAAGTGGTGGCAATGTTAGGACAATTAATCACACCCTCATTTCAGTACACTGCAAGTAAAAAAATATCTTAAGAACCAAGAGCCCTGGTGGCATGGTGGTTAGAGTGCAATATTGCAGGCAAACTCTGCCCTCAGTCTGGAGTTGATCAGGATGGGCTGAAGATTCACTCAGTCTTTCATCCTTCTTGGATCAGTAAAATGAGGACCCAGATTGTTGGGCACAATAGGCTATGTAAACTGCTTAGTGTGGGCTATAAAGAGTGGTATATAAGTCTAAGTGCTATTGCTATTAGGGGCACAGTGGATCAAAGAGTTAAATCTTCACATGCTTGGTTCCTGATCAAATCCACCAAGTGTTGGATTTATTTATTTAAAACATTTGAATAGCCATCCCAATTCTAACCAATTGGGGTGGGGCTCCCAATCACAACATATAAAACTAAAGATATAAACAACATATAAAACTAAAGATGTGAAAACTATAAAAATACTCAGAAACCTGGCTCCAAGTCAAACTTTTAATGCGTGGTAACCCAATCTTATTCCAGCACTTGGGGGAAGCGGGGAGTAGGCTGGTCTTTAAACATTTACAGAAGGCCAGGAGGGTGGGGTCTTGCTTCAGAGGTCAGAGTGTCCCATAAGGCACGGGCTGCCATGGAAAAAACATGCCTCCTCCCATTAGATGGCAATATGTAGGGAAAGGGACTAGAAGCATTCCCATTCTATCCCATTAGATGGCAATATTTAGGGAAAGGGACTAGAAGCATGCCCATTCTATCTGACCTGGTGGGATTAGGGAAAGGTGATCCCTCAGATAAACTGACCCTGTGCCATACAGGACTTTAAAAGTGATAACCAGCATCTTGAATTGCACCAAAAAAGAAACTGGAAGCCAGTGCAGCTCATGCAGCCAAGGTGTTACATGGACAAACCTAGTGGATCCCTTTACTGTGCATGCCTCTGCATTCTGGAACACCAGCTGAGGTTTCCAAGCAGTCTTCAAGGGGAATCCCATATAGAGTGCATTGCAGTAGTAAGAGAAGGAATTTTTCTTAGCTTTCAGTAAATACATTTAACTAAATACATTTCCACAGGCACAACACTGGTGAGAACTAACTTTGCAGCAGGAAGGGGCACAAGAGAAGAAAGGGACGCTAAAGAGTGAGATGTATTTGAACCGGATGAGTAAAATCTTAATGTGTAATTTTCTCCAGTAATACATGAATGACATTTCCAAACACCAGTCTGACATTAAGGTTATGCTCACATTAAGAAGAAATACATGGCTGATTAATTAGGAGCAAGTAACTGAATGACAGCATTAATATAGCATTTATAAATATTAAAATTGGGCATTAATTTTAAACCTAGGTTTTTTTCAGTGAACACTTGGCCCAATAGATGATTTGGATAATTCTGAAGAATGAACTGAGAGCTTGGAAGTGATCCAAATATCTTGATGCAGTTAACCACAAAATAAAGAGTTATTAGCTTATCATAATTGCAGCCAATTTTAAAGTAACAGAGTACTCCACTGTGGATTGCTGCAAGGAAGTGGAACAAAGCGTGTGAAATGAACAGATGGATTTGATTTGAAACAAATTAAGCTCACTCTCTGGGATGTAACAAGTGATTTTGTAGTTTTCCATGTTATGGGTTAACTTCCCACTGTGACCTTCTCATGCTGCTTGGTAATTTTTTTTTTGTCATTAAGCACAATCATTGAAAGAGGATGAGGGCTTATTATATTCAGTTCTGAAACTCTCATCTTCAGCTTTCGGGTCTACAAGGACTACTTCATACAAGATAAACTTTACCTACAGCAAAATGAATGTGCCTGAGCTGGTTCTCATATGCTAAATTGCATAATTTCCTGCCTGGGATTTGATTTGTGAGTAGATAATCCATCTTGTGTGAACTGGCCCCTAAAGCACCCTGAAACATGAGCAGGCAGTGAATTCAGCCATTGCATTACGGAACTGGTTTTCATCCTCATGTATTCAAGACAAAAACATAAGAGCTAAGTATGATCACACCAGCCTCTAACAAGGATTATGCCTATCAAATCTTCATATCAAGGATTGGATCAATACTGTATTATCCAAAAATTAACATGTCGAGTGCTCTGTGATGCTTCCTGCAAACCAGGGAATAGACCTTCCACTGGTGTTGTCTAATATTTCATAATGATCATGGGTGAAAAGAATGCATGGAATAGAGTTTCTTTAAGAGGTAGCAGATATCACAGAAAATGCTTTATTTAGTAACTTTAATGAGCATCAGACTTTCTACTCCACTCTTCTCTTATTGCTGCAAGTATTAAAAATCAGTAGAAGAATAATCAATAAATTTAAATTACAAACCACAGAGGGAGATAGAATAGCAAATTAAATGCTATGATTACAGAAAGTCCCTTCCAAACTCTAGATTAAATGTCCTTGTGTACCAATAGCTCATCATCAAGAAACCACATGATAGTGCTTAGTACAAATTGACACAATCTCACAATCTGATTCTAAATCACTTAAGGGTGTCCAATGCTGGCTGGGGAATTCTGGGAGTTGAAGTCCACCTTCAAAGTTGCCAAGGTTGGACACCCCTGACTTAAGAGCTTTTATAGCACAACACCATGTCTGATTTAAGCAGATCTCAATACAACACAAAAGACTATATATAGCCTTTACAGAAGAGAAAAACAGGAAAAGTCCGAAGCTTACCCTGAAAGTTAGAAAGACTTGCCTCCTTGAGTCAACTAATCTGCTTCAGGAAAGTCAGGTGGCATGTACAAAAATGCTTCTGAGAATTGCAGTATATATAAGTATGAAAGTTCATATATAGGTTAAAGAGACAAAACCTACCTAAATTGAAGAACATTCAAATCAACCTTATTTACTCCAGAAATGTCAGGTGTTGGGTCTACCTCCCCAAATTAAAAAAAATAAAATGATTAGAAGTTTGTGGGTGAGAAGAAGACATTGCTTTACCCCTGAATTCTATCTTCATAGCATCAGCAGCAGACGTACTGATTGGGCATCTGGAATCAACCCAGCTACGTATATGCTTTACACAGGATACGGTCTCCAGCTGCTATGTTCTGCTACTTTCTGAGAGCAAAAACTGGGAGTGGCAGAAACAATGAGGCCCTTTCTGCTGCTAATAAGTGCTTGTTAGCTGTGTGGATTTCCAAAACAAAAGCAATCCTCATGTAGCAGGAATATTTGTGATAGAACTAGACAACTATAGATAGGAAGAAGATATGAATGGATGCACCACTAAGCTAATCTACACAGAGATCGATGATGAGTATCTATCTCTATCTGTTTATTGGAGTTGTTAGGATTAGAATTGTTTCCTTTTATTGTTTGTTTACTTATTTTTCACTAAGCAAGCAATATTTTTATATCCTTTTAATAAGTTTGTTTACTTATTTTTATATTTATCACATTTCTACATTGCCCGCCCCACTAGAGTGACTCCATCCTCTGCTGTCCAAATTGGGCTGTATTCTGTAACATTACTTACAGAAGATAATTTGTCCTGTTATTGCATATTATGCTACAAGTAGTCCTGGACTTACAACAATTCATTTAGTGATGATTCAAAGTTGCAACGGCACTAAAAATGTGAGTTGTGACCATTTTTCACACTTATGACTGTTGGAGCATCCCTATGGTCATGGGATTTACATTCAGATGCTTGACAATTGATGTGCCAGGGCCATGTGATTCCCTTTTGCGACCTTCTGACATGCAAAGTCAATGGGGCAACCAGATTCACTTAATAGCCATTTTACTAATTTAACAACTGCAGTGATTCACTTAACAAACATGGCTAGAAAAGTCGTAAAAAACAAAATTTTCACTTAACATAAATTTTGGGCTCAATTCTGGTCATACATTGAGGACTACCTATATATTTAGGGACCTCAGTCTGTTAGAGAGAGAAAAAATACTACAAAAACAAGCAAATCTGCAATTCCATTTCTGCAACTGAAAAAAAAAATCTTCAAGCAGAACACTTACATGCTGATTTAAGCTGCCCAAGTCAGGAGATTTCTCCTTATTAGTCCATCCAAAGAACCAAGACTTCCAATATTAAAAAAAAAAAACACCCATAAACTCTTTTTAAGGTTTTAAGTATCCTGCTGTGTACAAACACACCGAAAAATAAACAGAGACCATCTGTTCATGAGCAGTAAGGCTGTGCAGGAGAAAAAAAAGGGATAATTTGAAATATTTACCTTTTTATAGCTTGATACAGAACAGGATTTGAAAGTGGCTGAAATGTGGGAACCTCATGCATCAAAAATGTCATATCAAAATGAAAAACTCAGTCAGCCATTTTCATATAGATGTACATCTAATACGAATCTGTTGATATGGAGACACCGTCCTCATTTTAAAGACAATGCATCTAGGCCATCAAGAATACTTAATATTTTATATTCCAGATGCAAAGTTATATATATTAGAACTATTATCATTTCATGCTACTATAAAATTGATTCAGCAGAATGAGCATGTAAATTGAAAAAAAAAAAACTAATGTCTTTTCAGGCACTGGATGCCAGAAAGAAAATTTGCTCCCAAATGGAAAATGTTGTCCGTAGTTAAGCCAACCTTGCTCGGAGATCTTTTTTAAATTTGATTTTCAGGTGACATTCTTCTGAATCAGGACAGAGAGGCTGGTTACTTATCACAAGTTGTGGCAGATATATTCAAGAAACAAAATTAACATTAAAACCCAAAAGTTTTCTTTTTCTTCTAATGTGATTAAATTTATCTTGTGTACCAGTTGTACAAAATGCACATTAACTTTTGAAGAAATGCATTTTGGATTCAAAAAAGTCATTCAGGGTGGGAATAGACACATACTTCATATCTCTCAGCGCCTCTTTAGGCGAGCTATGCCTTTTCCTGGGCTCCCCAGGTAGTCCCAGTAAATCTGCATTTGGGCTCACCTTTTCAGCTTCAGATCTGAAGCACAGTATATCTGCAGTTAATATTATAGCAAATTCTTTGTCAAACCTTAACTGTATTCATATCCTTTCAAAGTAGCAAAACTCACAGAAGAATGGAATAGCTCAAAAGCAGGAAGGGCCTCAACTACAGGTAATCCTCAACTTACAACCATTCATTTGGTGACCGTTCAAAGTTACGATGATGTGACTTATGACCATTTTTTCCACTTACCACCATTATAGCATCCTGGTGGTCATGTGATCAAAATCCAGATGCTTTGCAACTGGCATGTATTTATGACAGTGTGATTACCTTTTGCGACCTTCTGACAAGCAAAGTCAACGGTCAAAGCCAGATTCACTTAATAACCATGTTACTAACTTAACACTGTAGCGATTTACTTGTGGCAAGGAAGATCATAAAATGGAGCAAAATTCACTTAACAACTATCTTGCTTAGCCAGGGAAATTTTGCGCTCAATTTTGTTTGTAAGTCAAGAACTCCCTGTGCTCATTTTCTGATGCAGTGTTGTAAACTATTATTTTCTATCAGTAATAGGAGTACTACATTTTATAAATATGTTCATATATTTCCGAACAGTTCTGTATTACTTTTGTTGGTTGTCAACATGAACTATGAATTCTTATTCAACATCCCTAAATAAACTTTACAGGTGCTGAAAATAGAAAACCTTAGCAAATACTTGCCAGTTTTAGCCGAGCTTCTAAGTTTTAAACTATATGCTGCCCTTTTTTTTTCTTTTAAATTATTTAAGGGGCATCAGTGGGGGAAAGAAAGGAGACTGTTTATTGATACTAAAGCCTTTACTGTAATAAACCAAATATATTTACAATTTGTACAAATGTTTGATCTTCAACAAAACATACAAAAACCCATATCCCAAGAGGCAAAAACCAGGAAACAATTTTATCCAAGATACCACTGTTCTACACAAGACAGAATGCAGGTGGAACCGCAAGTGCTGAAACGTCATCCCACATCATCAAGCAATGAGCATGATTCTATGATGTCATAAAAGGAGGCCCCCAAAAGGCTGCAACAGACTCTGCTGTTAAAAATCCATTAAAACTATGCTACGTTAGTCCTTCTTGCTAGATGTTGAGGAGCGTTGTGGGAAGATGTGGGAACCAAGTTCTTCGTTTCATCGTTTTAAAAAAGTAGAGTCTTTCTACATCTACAGTTTAAAATCATTTTGGCCCAGTTCAACTCTTTTTAAGTTTCCAACGCAATTTCTCAGTAGATAACTTCATAGACGGTAGCCTTCTTGTCTCCAGACCCAGTAACTATGTATTTATCATCAACGGAGATATCACAGCTGAGCACTGAAGATGACTCTTTGGACTAGGAGAGAAGAAACAGAAGTATAAGGGTCTATATGCCTGAACTCACACCTATGCACAAACCTTCCCTTGCTCCTACCCACAATGTATCAAGTTTTGGATTTAAATTCTAATGTGAGTGTAACATGTCCTATTTTAAGGTTGAAATAAGCCTATGCTCAGTTCCATGAACCTCCTGGCACAGCAGAAAGGGTATTGGTAATGGTACTGGTAATATTAACCCCCCATCTCAAAAGAATTCTGTTTTTAAACTTATTTTATATGCAAATTATAGTTCTTACCTGGAATATACTGGCACCATATGGGGTCCTCCAGGCATTTAGGAGATTATCTTTCCCGGTACTTACAAACCATTTGCCTGGAAAATGATCATTAATGAGAACATTTAGATATACTACATAGACATATACTGTATTCATAAAAGCCCTCTTCTGAATTGTTTCCAGGTTTACTTAATACAAGCAACTCTGTGACTCAAGACATCACATGGGAGAGAAGAGGACAAGGGGAACAGAAAGTAGGAAAAAGTGTCAAAGAACACTTCACGAAACTTAATACAACTTTTCATTTTGACAAATGCTTGCTGGCATAAATAACCCATGGAGTTTCTGAAATCAACTTTTCAAGTGATGTATCCTTATGAAGTGACTGAAATGCAAGATTTAACTAAAAGGTCATAACTAACTGGTCCAGTGAGTATCAAAACTGTGGACCTTCAACCAGGGGTGGGATCCGACCGGTGTAACTATCAGTTTGGGGATTTTACACTTTGCATTTTACATTACATTTTATCTGACAAATAAAACCAAAGCATATCAACGCCCCCAAAGTCCTTCAGAAAAGGACAATGTTAAAGACATACAAAACTCCACAAGAAGTCATCCCAGATGGCCGACCACATCATTGGAAAAAAAAAAGTGGCCACATGCTGAGTATTTGTGGCAGTTTAACCAGTTATAAGGGCATGGACCACTGTAGTCATGCCCTCTATTTCAAGTAAGGCTGCAACTAGCACATCAGCTAAAATTGGCAAAAAAACAACAACCTCCATGTACTGATCCAGCAGGAATTAAAAGTCAAAGAGTACTCCAAATTTGCAAACTTTCTGCAGGTGGTTAAAAATACTGTACAGTGCCGCTATCCGCTATATTATTATTTTGTAAGCCTTCTCACATCCTTGCTGGGAGAACCAGCAAGAAGAGAGCTACATTTATTTTCTACTTCTTAATGCAAAGTGGAATGGAAATATTCAAGTGGCATGTCTTCTTTTAAGGGCAGCTGTAGCTAATTTATACAAATGTTGATGACTGTTAGACATTATTCCTCAAACTTACCACAGTATGCAAACTTGAGTGAGAGCACACAGCTTTCATGCAGATGAAGCTGGTATTTGTCTGGCTTATTTACATGCAGTACTTCCACATTACTGCTTTCCATTCCCACAGCCAGCCATTCACCAGTGGGACAATAGCCAAGGGAAAATATCTTTAAAATAAAAACAGAGAGCTATTTACAATCCCAGCGAAAAGGGTAAACAATGAGAGAAGGAGAGAAAGAAAGGGATGGAGGGAGAGAGAAATAGAAACTGCTTTGTATATATATTGTGAAACATAGGATGATGATTTAGAGCTAGAAATCAGGACCAATATACGTTTATAATATGTATATATTAATTCCAGAATATGTGGACTAGTGCTAAACAGGCTTGTCACCTACAAAGGCATTTTGTTGCATTTTATTCTCCTTTGTTTTCACCTAACCCAAGTGAAAAATGCCAAGTAAGATTTATATATGCACTCACAGTTTTAAAGATTGTATAGGAAATATTCAAAAAAAAATTTCAAAGAAATTGTCACAAACAGGTGGTATAAATTCCTAAATACATCCTCGTTAGAAGTGGTTTTTATCCCTTAATAAATGGCTTCCTAAATAGTAGTTTGAGACTATAGCAACCTATATGGATAATAAGGTTAAACTGTGAACACTGTTAAGCAGTACTTCTGAACAAATGTTTGGTCTCCTCCCAGAGTTACTAAATGTACCCAGTAGATGAAGGATTTGAAATGTGTATTATTCACTGTCTTAGAAATGCTTTAAAGAAAATAAAAGACACCTGGGATGTGAAGTCATGCTGCTGGAGCTGCCTTCCTTCTCTCAAGTCCCAGGATCTGACAGTGTTGTCCAGGCCTCCCGTCCAGAGCTTGGTACCATCATTAGAAATGTCAATACAGCTGGCTCCATCTGTGTGGCCCTGGAATTGCCTGATAAAACAAACCAGATTGAATAATGATTTCCTGCCAGAACTCAAGGTAAACACTGTTGTGTTGTTAGTTTTGGATTCTGCCTGAGTATCATCTTCTCTGCATTAGCTAATGTGCATGAAGCAGCAATCTTGCACCCTTCCTACTGTGAAATGAGCTCCCTGTATGCAAGCTTTTTTTTTTTTTTTTGCAGGTGCCAAAGCACATGGAATGAGCCGCAAATTTGGGTAATGAGAACCAAACATATGTGTGCATTGATCTGTAAAAGGTGGAAGACTCTTTGATAAGCTGTAATTCACTACTGCAACACCTGGAAATAAAATTGAACAGATTACCAAGCTAAACTCAATATACAAAAGACAAATTGGCTCACAGAAAGAGCCAGTTATTTATAGGCTTTGTCAAGCTGCCAAATCAAGGACATTTTTAAAAAAATGTTTAAAAGATTTGGCTACATAAACACAAGGAGGAAGCTATCAAGAAACACGTCCTGACTAAGCCTTGCAAAACTCTGACCTAAGTCTGTCATCATTGTTCAACATTTTACATTTTAAATAGTTATAATTTAAATATAAATTTTATCTGTGAAACCCCTTGTTCTCAGTAATAAAAACTTACTCAAGTATATATTAAACCCTAAGCTTGAATGTTTAAAAGACTTGCTTTTTTCCCCCATCAACAATTAGATTTAGTACCATGTCATAATAGCAGCTGAAGAAGAACTATCCTGGGATAAGCTACGAATCTGCTTGATAAGCCCTAGAGGAGCACTGTCTTTCAGAAAGTGAAAAAAGGAGTTTTTCTACAACATGTACTGACTGCAGGTAAGGCTGAATGAATCACAAAAAGTTCAACCAATAGGGAATAATTAATGCCACCACTTGAGGCCATGTCAGATTACTATTTTTAGTTGCATTTTCGAAAATAAAAGTCAAATTAAGAATGTCAATGCTGATTCAGATTGTTTTTCTAAGGTACTGAAAAAGTTCCAAGGCTATTGAAGGAAAGTGACTATTATTCAAAAAGGAAAGCCATGAAAGAATTCAAAAAATGTTCTATTGCTGTTTTGTCTTTTTTCCAATATACACATCTTATATTTCAGTACCACACTCCCTTTTCAAAGGATCTGATCTACTGTGTAATTAGTACTTGCATAAGTAAAGCCCAAACCCATTGTAATCACAGATGATGAAGGGAAAAAGAGATACAGAAGATAAAGGCAGATACAAATAATAATTTCCGCTTGAAATACTGGCCAAAACTTTCCGGTATAATGCACAGTGCAGTGTAAATTATATTCAAAGGTGGTAACTGACAAACTATTTCAACTTAACCTGATTTCTTGGGCAAATCAAACATCTAAATGTATTGATGCCATAGCTTGTAAATAAGCATGCATACAATGTATGTGTCTGAAAATTTGGCATTGCAAAAGCAGAAATGCATTGCATTAGTTGATAGCATCAATATTATCAAATAACTTTATGAATATGGGTATCAGCCAGGAACCAGGAGGAAGGGAGGAAAGAAAAAAAGAGATTGAAGTTAGGGACTCAGTTTTCAAAGTCTTAACTTTTTACTATTCTACTTTATGGGCATAAAAAAAAGAATAAAATTAAATACAGAGCTGTCCGTTTTCTTTAAAAACAAAACACAAGCTGCAGAACTTAAATTAATTTGATTTTTGGCCCATCAGTATAGGGTTCACATTTCTGCTTGTAATTAAGATGACTCATTCAATCTGTAAGTGTCCAGAAATGCTTAAGTGGCCAAATGCCGATGCTTTAAATAGCCTCTCATTATGAAGGCAGGTGCAAATGTCAGCTGTGCTTGCTGAGATTTATTGTGCATCACTGCCAGGTTTTTTTTGGTGATATATGAATAGTTGGTTTTGTGGTCCACCAAACACTGTTAAATTACAAAGCTATTTTGGACTGTTAAAAGTTTCTTCCTTGCCAAATCATTCCCACCAAGGTGTACCAAAACATTCTTTCTTTTAATCTTGAAGGCTTGAAAGGAAATTACTTATGTGAGCATTATGCTAATTACACACCAGGCCTTGCAAGCTTGGAAATATTAGAGGTCATCTGCAAAAAGAAGCCAAGGGAGAAGGGAGAAACCCCTGACTAGAAACCAACAAAGGCATCAAGAAAAGCAGAACATTATTTGAGCTAATTTTTATTTTTATTTATCCTTTAGGTAAGTGAACTGTTTGAGAGCTGTTTCATTCATTTACAGTTGACAGTTATTTGAGGATAGTCTTAAATGTACTTAACTTAAATTTAGCCTTACATTTAACAAATTGAAGTGTGTTTTTTTTTTGGGGGGGGGGGGGGGATTAGCCTATTATGATACAAAGTATTTAATGCCAAGAGATTGAAGCTCCTAGACCTCCAAGATTAGATGCTGTCAAGCTAGTATTCAAAGTATCATGACAGAAAGGTTTTTGATTTCACACTAAGGCAACAGGAAGAGAGTTCTGACAGTTTAAAGTGTAATTTTAAATTTTCAATAAGTTTCATGAAACAAGGCAGGCAAAACAATGAGAGCTGGTGCCAGACTACAGTGCAGATAAATGAAAGTTTTGTTATAGTTTTTAATCGCCTTGGGTAGGAACTGTTTTGGCTAGCAAGAGGGTTAGGGTTGAATTAGGCATCCAGCCTAATTGTCAGTGAGAATTTGTAGAAATGGGGGTAGGTGGTGGGGATAAAAACATATGAGAAAATGAATAATAGGATTGTGTTGTGAGGAAAAGAGTGAGAAAATGTTAAATGTTATGAGAAGTTGTTGACAGAAGGTCAGACCAAAAGGTGAGGAAAGGTGGATGTGTTATTGGAGATAGATGGACACAAAATTGAATCATGAACCTTGGCCATAAGATTTGGAGAGTTGTCAGACAGTGGTGAGGAAATTAGGGATAATTCAGGTCAGCAATTTTCTGATGGCCTCAGTCACTAAGGTCACAAATGGAAAATACAGCAGCTGCCATTATTATTTCAGCAGCCACTAAAGTGAAAAAGGAGGCCCAATCAGGAAAATACACACACACACACACACACACACACACACGTGTTCTGACAGAGGTGGATAACAGAGGTAGAGGCTGTGATGAAGATTTGACAGCGACACTGAGAGACCAATCTGGGATCAGAGACTAGAAAAGTAATGGGAGCAGTAGAAAGCCAAGCCAGGAGCCCAAGCTGATTTGACACTGGCTGAAGATAGAGAATGGAAGGAACCTGAAATGGCCAGGAAGCCTAATTGAAAGAACAGGCTAATCTGGTGGTGGACTTTGGAATTCAGCTCCCAGGTGAGAGGTAGGGAGAAATGAAGAAGACCAAACTATGGGAAGAGGGAACCAGGGAGAGTAGAAACACTTGTCTTACTATAGTACATTGAGTGCAGTAGTGCATGAGTGCCACTAGGAACTATGTTGACATTGCTGCAGGTAGGTAGGCAAAAATGCCTAAAATTGGTAATGTGCAGCAGAAGGCATGACTATGTGGATAAATGATAGTAAGTTGTTTGAATGGTGAAGATGGAGTGGAGTTTGATGAGGTCTGTAGAAATTCCCTGGATATTATGGCCAAATGGGATATCTAGGCCAGGGTTCTCCAACCTTGGCAACTTTAAATCTTGTGGACTTCAACTCCCAGAGTTCCTCTGCCAGCAAAACTGGCTGAGGAACTCTGGAAGTTGAAATCCACAAGACTTAAAGTTGCCAAGGTTGGAGAACCCTGATCTAGGTGGTAAATGAAAGAGAAACAGAATTGGGGAAGAGGCCAGGCATTTACTGCAACAGAAGGGCAGAGGAAAGGTACAGCAAGGGACTTTATAAAAACCAACATTTATTAATATTGATATTGAACCCTAACCTCAACCATAAGTCTAACTAGCAGTGGGATACTACATGTTTCACTACCGGTTCGGTAATCACGTGTGCATGCGCATGCAGCTAACATGCTTTCCCCACACCAGCTGAGGCCTGCAGTGCCAATCAGTTGATCGAATAAAGAAAAGCACAGGGGCAGGTGGAAGGGCTGTTCCTGCGCTTTTCTCTTCTTTCTACTCTCAGCTGATCATGAGGTGTGTTGTTGTTTTTTAAACTATAGGTTCGGCCAAACTGGGCCGAACCGGAACATACCACCACTGACTTTAACCCTCCAACCTGATGGGCTCCTACTGTAGTGGCACTGATGTCAAATATCATGGGGGAAAAGACCGACCCTTTGAAATTTCACATTGGAATAAGTACAGAACAGAGTTTTCATCATATTTATTAAATGGAACGATTCGCTCAGGTAGAAGAACCAGTCTAACCAATTGTTCGCAATCTTTGGAGACAGCGTTTTTCTCTTTTTATATATAAATATTTTTAAGGCATGCTGATATTCAATTATACAAAGCTACAACCAGCTTTGGAAGTTTTGAATCAGAATCTGGTGGCTGTAAGAGACTGGGTACCAAGAAAGTGTCTGTAACTGAGTAGAGTTGCTTCTCATTCACAACTATCTTGGCTGTCCAGAAATCTCTACCAAGGGTTATACTTCCCCTAGAACACTGGTCCCCAACCGTCCTGGCTTGGAAAGAGGGGGTAGTTCTGTGCAAGTGGCAGATGAGTGGCACTTGAGTGCAAGCACCCATTACCTGCACAAGGGGAGCTGCATGCGTGAGACAAGTACCTGCTGCTCACAAAAGGAGAGCTGCACACAAATACGTGTTCTCCCGATACTTTCCGCAGCCCAGTTCCGAACTGGTGATCCCTATCCCAGAAGATCTAGTTTATACTTTGTTGGTCCACCTAGATTCATGATTCCTGCTTGGACAGCAAATAGAAACTAGGACTCCTTTGCTCATTTTTTAAAATAGAAATGCAAGTTATGGCACCACTTGGTTTACATGGCTCCGATGGCCCTCACAATCACACATTTTTACTATTCCAACACACTCTACTGCCTTTGTAAATGATTCAGCACCTACATTTTGTGAAGGAGGATTGTAGAGTTACTGCCATTCTATGGTCCCTGAATGAGCTGCCAGTAAGTTTCTGAATCTACCTCAAAATGCTGATTATTATGGATTAGGCTGTTCAATGCATGACATTTGGCTACAGACTACTTAAAAAAGATGATTCTGCCCCGCCTACCCCAGGCAACCAAAGGAGGTGTTTTTAAGGCCATACGTCATAAGCAGAGGGAAGGTGAGGAGCCAAAAAATGGCAGCCTATTGCATTCATATGCTGCATTCGGAGATACATCTAGCTTCTGCTATTTGGAAGGACCCTGACAAGCATCTTATTCCAGTTGGACTTTGGCCCTTGATGAGAAATTTCATCTTGTTTTTGATGTGTTTAAATGCTGCATTGATATGATCCTATGACTTTGAACACAGCATCATATCTTTCAGATTGGAGCAATATTATTATTATTATTGATTAAATTTATTGGCCACCCATCTTACCACAGGCTAACTGGGCAACTTACGATGTTAAAAAGGATAAAAATTATACAAAGCCCATATATATTACAAATACAATACTACAAAAATATAAAAATACAAATTCTCAACCCTAACTAAAAGTGGGGAGGGAGGGAGTAGGACAAGGGGTGGGTTGGAGGTGGGATTTGTTATTAATCTATCAATTACCTGCAGTGTGAAACTCCCCCCCTTGGAGCCCCAAGCTAACTGACAGAGTCAGGTCTTGAAGCTCTTGTGATTTCAATTTAATTTCAGTTTTTGTTGACACTAATATAAAAATATGGATGAATCAATCAATCAAATGGACTATTGTTCTTAAGAATATGGAATCAAGAACAGCATATGTCAACAAACAAAGCTACGCAAGAGCCTGAAGCCAGCGTCAGTAGAGTAGTAGTTCAAAATAAGCAGAAGGCCCACATGTAACTGAATTAAGAAAGAT